ATGCAGATTTGAATTTAGCAGCTGATGATATGACCCACTGAACGTTATAATCACGCCGGTGTGATTGTATTAAATATAGAAAATATTAATCGGCTATTTTTTGTCCTTTGGAAGTTGCATTCAAAATCCACTTGGCTCAAAAATCTGAGGGGGCACTTGCCCCCTCACCTTGAATGGGCATGACGCCTCTGGTCCTGTATGCATTTGTACGATCCCAATTAGACTACTGTAACTCTATGTATAGGCCTATTGTTGCCCCTCAGACATGTCACATGATTGCAGTTAGTTCAAAATGCCACAGCTAGGTGAACACATCACACCTGTTCTGATTTCACTTCATTGACTACTGCTCAAATACAGAATTGAAAAGTTTTGTTTATTTGTTTTTAAGTCTTTGCGGAACCAGGCACCACAGTACCTATATGAACTACTACATCCGCCCTCACAAGCAAGATCGCTCAGATCTGGGGACTCTGATCTACAATATGTTCCTAGAACTAGACTTAAAAACAGGGGTGATTGCACTTTTGCGGTCATCGGTCCCAAGTTATGGAATAGCCTTCCGGCTTCAGATCCGCCCAAACCCTGTCAATTTTTAAATCCACCTTGAAGACGTACTTTTCTCAATGGTCTTCAATATCCCTTGATTCTCATCAGCATTTAACATCATTTGATTCAAGCTTTTCCCTCTATTTTACCTTATTTCATAGGCTTTTCATTTTTTATCATACTTGTATTGTTCCTATATCGTTTAAACATTTTGTGTTTTTTACTGTCTGTTTTCTTTTAGCTTTTGTAAAGCACTTTGGTTAACACCAGTTGTTTTTAAATGTGCTATACAAATAAACTTGTATTGTATTGTATTAAGAGCCACTTGCCTAAATTGAAGAGTATCCATGTTTTACTATTAAAGGGGTCATATGATGCTTTTTTAAAGATCATTATTTGGCTAAATAAAGTGCTTTTGCTTTCGCCTAGAAACACACAGCGTCTCCTTGACATGGCTGCTTCAACACTAACTGCGGTTACTGACACCATGCCTTCTTTCTTTGCGTGCACATTTGCGGCGGGATTATGCAAATATTTCCACATAGTGGGGTAGATATGTGGGGGCGTGTTAGAATGAGCCGTTTTAGGGGGGCGTGGCAGAGTCTTAACTTTGATAAAGAATATCTCTTTGGTTTTGAGACTTTAGTCTTTGCAACTTCAGGGATCTTATCTATGCACAATCAGCTTGTAACACTCCAAAGAGAAAGGAAAACTTGAAATCGCATCATATGACCCCTTTAACTTACTCTGAAGCATTGATTACTGGCCAGAAAACAGGGACATTAGGACCAGGAAGAATATCTGCATTTATCCACACCGGGCGGTTGATCCCCGTTTGGTTTTTTACTCTCAACAGATCCAGTGAGGGTTCCACAGCATTGATACTTTTAAAATCCAGCTTTATCCCTAAAGAAGAATAGACACAAAGCAATGTACATTATGTCTTCTGTATATAAAAGCAGATGTTCCAGGTACAGTTCCAGGTTGTTCACCTTTCTTTGATTTTAGTACAGCTTCCAGCCACTCCTCCAGAGTGTTGTCACTGTATATGTCCGGTGGATGGGCCATGATGGGAATATTGGTTTCATTAGCTGTGTTATAACCTTTCACATTTACATCAGCCTCTAGGATCATGACATCACCTGTAATATATTCAGTTAAATGAGTTTTTTAAGGTATTTCCTTACATAACATATGTAATATTATATCATATCTTATCAGAGCTCTTAACATAAATGGTGTGATCTCTTATCTAACACAATGCATATCACAGGAATAAGTTTATTATGCAACTGGTAATTGAATTGATTAAAGTGCAACCTTGAACAGTTAATCTTGTTAAGATAAAACAAAAGATCACTCTTACTGTTCAAGGCCTTGTTCATCTCAGATTTATTGTTGGCTGCATGATACCATGTTGCATAAAGACCATCTTTCTCCTGAATTTCTCCAATTTGGAGAAGAAATTCAAGCATGTCTCCATCAGATGGGAAAGGCTCCATTTCCATGTCGACTGAAGCATCTGAGATCACGCACAAGCAGTATTCAAATTGAACAACATTTAACAGGACAAATCAGTATTGATTTTTTAAATTTACTCTGACATTTCCTAATGCATACAATTTCATAATATGTACCTGATCAATGGTGATGCATATGGAACATTCTGAACTCTATATCAAGCGAGATTTAATGGCATACAGTTTATTGTAACATATTCAAAAACACCGAAGAGTCTCCATACCTGATCTTGTGATCACAAACACTGAAGTTAAGGTAATGATGAGAAGAAGTGCAATCAGTCCGATAACAACACATAACATGATGAACTTCTCTCTTGTAAAGATCCCCAGAAATGTTTTTGGTTCTTTTCTTTCTCCTTCCTCCTCACTGTTGCAGTTCTTTTCATCTTTTTGTTCCATTGTTTTGCAATATCAGATATCTAAATGTTCACTCAACGAGTCATTGCATCAATGTGCAGCTGCACAATGACTCTGTTTTCTCTGAGGTCCAAACTGCCTTTTATCTGCAGACCATAAAATGGTGTGATAGGCCGCACTTTGTATTCTTGCTGTCTTGTTTGCACCTCTATGCAAATATTAAACAACAAACTCCTCACACTTATTTGTAACAGAAGACAAGGAGATTTTCCATATCTGTGGCCTTGCAGACAAAAATACTTGCTTGTATGATACATATAATATTACATATGTACTGTACATTAAAAAAAACCATATTCTTTAAAATGGTGCAAATAAAAGATTATTTGAGTGTTTAAAAAGAAAATGCTACCTTTCTACTTTAAAATTTGAGGTTTACCTCAATGTTAGTTGCTGTTTCTTTTTTAACTATTTGTGAAATGTACTAGCAATTTCTGAGTGAAAAAAGTTTTATTGTTAAAATAAAATATATTTTATTGTTCAAAAATAAAAAAAATACACCATTTCTTTTTGTGTATAATAAAATGCAAATAACTTAAAACAAAACTACACTTCATTAAAAGTCCATATTTATCAGACATTTATCAAATGAACTAAGCTGTGCATGTTATCTGTTACATTATCTGTAAGGAATAACATTATCGGATTTTCTTATCGAGTGATGTTTGTGGCCTGTTGGTTGTTTTTTCGGGTAAAATGAGTCTTAACTTCCTCTTTGGTGAGCCCTCAGCTAAAGATACATACACTTGGATGACAGGTGCACCAGAGCTAATCAGGTCTGAACTGCTGGACTGATCCACCACATCCTGTGGAGCAGTGGATTCACTCACAGGAAGTGCAATATTTGGATTGGATAGCTGCTGAGTGTCACTGGAATCCAGATCGTCGGGGTGAGATGGAGCTGTAAGACAGTTGTGATCATCTGGAAGAGCTAAATTGAGTGTTAGTGGGAGTGTTGATGCCATTTGAGTTTCTCCCTGAACAGAAATATAATTTTGACCCTTTTCTATAGTGACATCATCTGTATCCTTAGACAGGGACTTTGATTCCTTGTTTCCTTTTTTAGCACGCTTCTTTTCAGAGATATCTTGTATAGTATCATTTTCCTCTTCCTCACTTCCTGAGCATTCAATGTTATCTTTAGATTTTTTGCTAGTTTTATTTAATTTTAATTTATCTTTTTTGTCCTTTTTGCTTTTCAGTTTTTCCTTCTTACCCTTTTTGTACATCTTGTCTTCTTCAATATCTTCTTTGTCAGTGGACTTTGGATGAACTCTGCTTTTTTGAAGGGGGTTTAAATTTAATTTAACTTTCAGTGTCCTCTTTGCATGTCCTCTGGTTATCTGGGTTTTTAAGTGTCCTTGTGTGCTGCTCTTAGTCTTACCCAGCTTTCGGGGGGGTTTCTGTGCAGATGTTTTAAAGTCCTTCATCCTGCTTTCCTTTTTGTGTCTGTCAGCCATTGTGGTGAGGACATGTTCCTCAGTCCCAGCTAGATCAAAAGTAACACTTCTTTGAGAATCTAATTTAAAGCCCAGCTCAGTAGCTTGACTTTCACCATGTCTCCCAGCGTTTGACTTGTCATAACCCAAGTTGTCTTTGTATAGCATGGCATTGTACATTTGTGCTCTGTTTTGAACTGTGTTACTCTCAGCTTGTCTGTAATCATAAGTCTGATGACAGTGCAGACAACCGATGGTTTGGTAAATCGGTTGAGCACCAATGTCCTCAGCCTGGTGCTTTAACAGTGAGTGATTTCCTTGAGTTATTTCATCGTGGATTTGGTCTGGGGGTCTGAATGTGGCTCTCTGGAGGGCCGAGAAATGATTACTGAGGGCCAGCTGCCGTATTCTGACAGCTGAGATGTCGTTTGAACCCCCACGATGTTGGGAAGAAGTACCCTGACTGCCCAGATAGTTCTTTGGAATGCCTGCCAAACTCTCTCTCTCATTATGTCTTTGTCCACCTATATCTGTGAATAAAACAGACATTTGAAATTTAAATGAATTAAATTAGTAATTTAAAACAGACATTTGAGAATGTGCTTAGAGGTATAAAACATCTAAATAAACTAGATGTCACCACTGGAATTGAAGAAATGGAAGGTGCTGCTATGCAGTTAACAGTTGGTTGTTTACAAAAGATTAGTTTTAAATACTGATATAGATTTATATATAACTTATGTATGCAATATAGATTTGTATATGTAATAAGTTACAATCGACTATAACTATACTATAACAAAAACAAAAATTAAAAATAAATTAAAACTAAACAGAAAAAAAAAAAAAAGATAAAAATATGACAAACATATTTATTTATAAATATAATAGTTTATAAATAACACTGAAGTAATAAATACTGGTTGGAAATCATGAGATTAAACATTAATTTGTTCTATTATATGTTTTCTTCCTAAAATATGATTATGAAGGTGTCATGTCAGTCTTATGCACACCCCTTCAAGTAAAGTGTAACCAATAATATTCTTAATTAATGGTAGATTATAAAATATATCATTTTATTTAAATGTATTATTATTCATATTATAATATTAAATGTTTTTCCAGATAATAATTTTACGCGTATTTGTAATATTTTCTAAAAAAATACAGCAAGAAGGTAATTATATTTGTGGGTCTATGGCAGTTAAAAGGTTTGAAAACCTCTTCCTTTGCAGACACTTTTAAAACATTTCAAAGCAAATGGTGTGCTTGCTAGTTTACCTTTGATCCTCTGTTGCAACACAGAATTTTTATCATTCCCTTCCTGTTGGTGATTAGCCAGCTGTTCACCTACATGAGTAGCTTTCTGCAGGACAATCTCTCTTTTGTTCTTTCCTACCGCATGTGCTGAAGAGCTGCACTTGTGACAGGTGAAATGACTCTCCAGCATGTCTGATCCCAGATAAGGAGAGTCTTCTCTGTCCCAGGGTTGATGGGATTTGTAGTTGCTGTTGTACAGTGCATGGCACTTAGTTAGAGTGTCCTTGCCTTGGCAGAAATTCCACTGGGTTGATTCCAGGCCGGACTCCCCAACTCTATTTTCTTCCTGCACCAGTTCAAATTTCTTACTGAGTTTGTGGTATGCAATGACAATCATTCCCAGGGTGATCCCAACACCACCTACAATTAAAAGCAGAATATATATATAAATAAATACATATATATATATAAACATACATATACTGTATATATATATTTTATTAATTTAATAATTGTATTAATAAATTGTCATGTGGTGTCGATCTAATCAGCTATCAAGTAAAAATAAAATATTTTCATACACCTTGAATATGTGAGTATACACATCTTATTTATTTTTTTAAAAATGTTTTAAAATAACTTTTCATGGAAAAAAGTAATGATCTATGAAAAATTGCCTAAATTATTAATTTATAAATAGCATTATGTTTCTGTGCAGTCACACCACATAACATTTTACAACCTAAACAAACCAATCTTATCTTGTCTTAAAATGATCTGATATTTTAATAGAATAATTGTCCTCAATGCACAATCATGAGCATATAATTTCTTCTTTTTTGTTTCCGCACATCAGTCACACCCCATGACTTTTTGGATTAAACAACAACAAAAACAATCAAAACAAAAACAGTTAAATGTCATTCTTTTAATCACCTTGACTTATATGTATGCTTTATTTTTGAATAAATAAAAGGAATAGTTCACTCAAAAATGAAAGTTGAAAATTTACCTTAGGCCCTCAGGCTATAAAACATAGATCGGTTTCTTTATCAGAACAGATTGGGAGAATTTTTGGCTACGTTATAATGGATTATGGACATGTGTTTTGGCCAGAAGTGATAGTTTAAAGTTAAAACCCCTTAAAGATGGATTTGTTTCTTACAGACACGCAGCTTTTCATTTCACAAGACACTAATTGATGGACTGGAGCCATGTGGATTACTTGTGGATTATTGTGATGTTTTTATCAGCTGTTTGGACATTCACTGCAGAGAATCCATTGTTGAGCAAGTTGCTAAATTTCTCTAAATCTGATTCAATAAAAAAACAAACTTATCTACATCTTGGGTGGCCTGAGGCTGAGAAATTGTTTAGCAAATGTTTTGGTGAACTACTTCTTTAAGACTATATAGTCATGTCCTCCATATAGTCCATATAGTCAGGTAGAAAGTTTTGGTATCAAGCATTTGCATTAGATACTCACCCAAAAATGAAAATACAATGGCAATAGCAACATTTCTAATATATTGCTCAGAAGTGATATATCTTTTAGCCACAACCTCCACTGTTATATTCCTGTTTGGTGGGACACAGTTAGCGTCAGTCAATTCCAGCACAGCTTGCACAGCTGCATTATCTGTATTCACACACACCATCCTCTGCCCATTGTACAAGACTTTTTCAGGAGCCTGAATGTAACTTTTGAGAAATGAGGCCAGCTCTCTCAACTCACATGTACAGCTCCAGAGGTTCAAATCAAGGTTCAGCACTGAGAGCCATGACAGATAAGAGAATGCATCTGGAGCACTGCGTAGATGATTGCGGGACAGATCGAGTCTGCGGAGACGAGGAAGCCCTCTGAAGCTATCACATCCTAAGTACACGATGAGGTTGTTGGACAAGTCCAATGTTTCAAGGTTCCTCAGATCAGCATGGGCAAAGGTTGTGGAGTTCAAGCAGTTGAGGAAGTTCCCCTCTAGTTGAAGTGTTTTTAAAGCTCTAGAGCTTTGGAACCAGCAGCCCTCAATGTCATTCAAATTGTTGTTACCAAGCTGGAGAGTCTCCAGTCTGTGGAGCCAGGAAAATGTGGAGCTGTCCAGGGATTGGCTGGAGATGCGGTTATGGTCCAGCAACAGCGTAGTTAGAAAAGAGAGGTTCTGAAAGGCATTCTCCATGATGCTAGAAATGGCGTTGTTGCTGAGTGCCAGAACAGTCATGTTGGATAATTCAGAGAGGACCATGTTGTCCACAGAATCAATGAGTCCATCAGTGAGCATCAAAGCTTTAGTAGAGCCTGGTGCATCTAAATATGATGAATAAAAACAGTTATATTACCAAAACTCCATACTTCAGGAATCTAATCAAAAAAAGCTTTATATCAGTATAGACTACTTACATAAAAAGTACAGAAATAGCAGTTGTCACTATATCTCCCAATAATATAGTAAGATGCATTAATTAAATGCTTAGATTCATGATCAAAGTATTTTTTATTGTGGGGGGCAAAGATGCAGCACAATGATGATTGAGAGATGATCTCTTTACTTGCTAAGAAAGTATAAACTATCAGTCAGAAGACAGAAGGCATGTAGTAGATTGTGTACAAGTTTTTTTCAGCAAAGTTTTAATTATGTTGATAATTTAGTGGCCTTATTGCATATCAAATATGATTTAGGCCGGTTTCACACCGCACGCGTAAGCAGAGCGTATTTTTTTCGGCGCGCATGTTAAGGCCGATTTCACACCGCACGCGTAAGCAGAGCAGAGGAAGCGCAGAAGCGGCGCGTATGCAGAGCGGGAGCAGCGCGCGCCCATTGTGCTTTCACACTGGCAGCGTTTGTCGCGCAGCTGAACCGCGGCTTGTTTACTGCAAATACAGACGAGTATCGTTCATTCGGTCACGCTTTTCATGTGTTCTCCGACAACTGTCTGTCATGTGCTTTGATATGGGCAGCATGCTGTGATGCGGCCGCGTTCCCCTCTGTCACGTGCATATAACATGCTGTACATATAATTTACATGATAAAAAGTAATCTTAAAGTTAATAAATTCCTCTAGTTTTAATAATTTAAACAGGCCTTTGAAGTTTGGGCAATAACTCCTGACAGTGATGTGTTTTCGTAGTTGATTCTGTGCTAACTCTATATATTTTTTCTTTTTTTAATGTTGTAGATTTAAGTAGCAAATGAGAATCGCTAAATTTATTGAATATATTTTGAGACAAAGGTCTTCCTAATGATGATCAGTTTGGTTTAAGATAATTAAAGCAACAGTTTTTCAATAACTAGAAGAATATGTAAAAGTATGGTATTTGGGGTAAAAGCGCCCCTGCTGTTGGGGCGAAAGGCACAATAATTAACATGATAATTAATAGATGGATGACTTTTCCAATTGTTGACATGACACATGGTTAGATTCAGATGGCAAATATCATATAGCCTATTATGTTGGGTGTCCACCTTAGAGATAATCACCATGTTTATAATGATATAATGATATAATGAAACCATCATATTTAAAAACATGATATTAATCATATCATATAATTTGCTGTTACTACTGTAAATCTATATTAACTTATGGGATCTCCTTCAATGCTTTCAGAATCTTTACTTTTTGTTTTGTTTCTGTATTTTAAAATATATTTTTATATTATCATTTTAATGACAGTATATTTATTGAACATTATTTATCAAAATAAGCAGAAAATAGCCTAGTACAAACTTTGCTAAAGTGATTGTTTTGAACAAGTATTAACTTATACATTAGTATAAAAAAATATTTTAGCTAAAGTATTTATCAATACTGTGTGCCTTTTACCCCGTGATTGTGAAACACGAAACACCTCACATGATTTTACAGTGAAATGTGTCATTTTTCATGTTAATCAGGTCAATTTTGATCAGGAAAAATGCACTGTGGCTTTAATTCAGCGTAAGCGGCGCAGCAAAAATAGACTCGGCGCCGAAACTATCGCGGCACTGCCGCTTCTGCTCTGCTCCTGCTACGCGCTGCCTCGCCGCCTCTGCGTGCGGTGGGAATGCTCTAATCTGTTAACATGGGCGCCGAAAAAAAAACCGCGCTGCTTCCGCGTGCGGTGTGAAACTATGGGATTACATTTCTGCCGCAATTCTGTGCGGGACAGGCAAATCACGTGGTCTCGCGAATCCTACCGCTGCGCTTCTGATCCGCTTCTGGTGTGAGTTGGCACCGCGTGGAGGACGTAACAAAACCTCTTCGGAGCCGTAACGCGCCGCAGACGTGTGCAGTGTAAATAAGGGGTCAGGGTTAAAAATGCACTTCCAACAGTTTTCAGTGTACTGAAAGGGATAGTTTACTCAAAAAATGAAATTTCTGTCACCATTTTCTCACCCTCATGAGTAAATCAAAAGATATTTTGAAGAATATTTCAACTTTTCTTGTTTTTGTGAACCATCCTTTTAAAATTATCTTAAAAACAAACAGACAAAGTTCTTTAACCACATAATTTACTTACCAATAATGTTTAAGAGTTTATGACAGATGATGACATCTTCAGAACACACCACACAAGAAGAAGGGCAGAGTAATGACAGCTGAACTTGAGAGATCACCATCAGTAGAAGGCAGACACCTGAGAGGAACCATTAGTATAGTGTTCACCTATGCTAGTCTGACAGTTTTTTTTCAGCACTGTGAGACAACAATATGCACATACTTCTCATGATTTACTGATGTCAGATAGTGTTGGATTTCCAAAATGGCTTATGTGGTTCATGGCCTTTGATCAGCTTTTTTCAAGCAACAACAATTATACAAAATAATATAAAACAAAGCAAAAAGCAAGGACTTGTCAACAAAAGTACAACAGAGTTCTTTAGTCCAGATCTACATTCACTGACTAGTACTTGGTCATAACTAATTCTTTTTTTTCTCTCTCTTTTGTTTTGGCAACTGCACCTGATGCTGCGCTCCCCTGACCTCTGTTGCCAGGAGATGCTGACTGCCAAGACAGATGATGAAGGTAAAGTTATAAAACATGCATGATCTTTCACCTGATTCCTTCTGTGGAGGCGATTCTGCTTTCTGTATAGTGTGTGAGGACACTAGCAACACCTGCCACATATTCTTTGACTGTAACTGTAAAATAAGAAAGCGACTGATAATAGTTTCACATCTCAAACAGCTACTATTTAACTCCTCTTTGAGGAAATGTCTTGCTTTAAATCTTAATTTACATAATACAGCCAAATTGAACACAAAACACTGACAATCCTCAGTACAAAAATAAAATAAATTAATTATATAAATTTTTCAGGATTCTTTGATTAATAGAAATTAGAAATAGATATTTTTTGTAAAAATGTAAAAGTATTTACTGTCACTAATACTGTCTATTTAATGCTTCCTTTATAAATTATTAATCTCTTTCAAAAAATATCTTACTGACCTGATATACATATACATATATATATAGAGAGAGAGAGAAGTAAATGGATGTATGCATAAATACATAAAAAAATAACATCCATCTATCTATCTATCTATCTATCCTGGGTTAAATTCAAGCCAAGTTTTTAAACATTTTACAGTTAAGCAAATTACATTTTTATCACATAATCAATACATACAAACACTCTGTGCTTACCACACATGGAGCAGCAAAATGTCGAACACTCGTATCCATGTGCTGAGGGTCCAAATAAGTTTCTAAACCTTTGCTCAGTATTAGATTCTTAATGGTTCCACTGTAATACAGTCATGCTGTGTCTCAGTGAGTGATCTCAGTGCAAATGGGGCACGTGTTGAACCAGCATGTTACCTGATCTCAGAAATGTAGTAGTGTTCAGCACTGATGCTTGACAGTCACAAAGACACTTTCTTAAGTTCTAAGTTCTTATTTACATTGTTCCATTTTTTTTTACACAGAGGCAGCCCTAAACTGATGGACAATCAGCTGTCAAATTATTACAATACAATGCTGTGTTGATCATCTGCTAATTATTAAAATCTGTAATGCGTACAATGGAAATACCATTTTGAGGCCTGTTAAAAGGACAGTTTACCAAAAAATGGAAATTATGTAATGATATACTTTTTTTTACATACTATGGAAGTCAATGGAGACAATCAACTGTTCGATTACCCACATTCTTCAAGATATCCTCTTTTGTTTTCAGCAAGAGATATGAACTCATACAGGTTTGGAACAACTTTCAGAGTGAGCAAATGATTGATGAACAATCTCTTTAATTTCTGTTTGCCTAATATTTACTATTCATGTTATTTATAGAAAATTGGATGAGAAGTAATTTCCTACAACTAAATGCAGCAGCTAGACTTCTCAACAGCCCAGTTCTGTCAATACTACATTGGCTCCCTATTGAACATCACATTTAAAATTTTTAAAACATCTTAAAATCCTTCTGATTACTTAAAGCTGCAGTCCGCGAATTTTTTTGGTTAAAAATGATCCAAAATCAATATTTGAGCAAGTACATAACCAGCCAGTGTTCAAAACTATCGCCTTACTTTAGCCCGATTCACAACGGTTATCTTATAATAATGTTTTCTAATTTGAGTGGTACGGTTAGGTTTTCATGGGAAATTCGAGCATGCTGCTGCGTCATTACGTCACGTCTGTAAACATAAAGAAGTTATCTACTAGGCTTACTGACCTGATATACATATACATACATATATATATAGAGAGAGAGAAGTAAATAGAAATTGAAATCTACACACACACTATACTCATAGTCACGCAATGCTGATTTTGTTAACATTAATAATCTGAGAATAAAGTATTAATATAATAATAATTTGCACCTAGATAATTCCGCAAGTAACTGCAATTCCAGGTTTTCAAACAGACTGCAGCTTTAAAAAGCTGTAAATCGTTTAGCTCCCCAGTACTTAAGCGAGCTCTTATCGCTTTATAGCCCCTCACGTATATTATGGTCTCAGATTCTGGTCAGTTGATAATACCTAGAATATGTTCGGGAGGCAGACACACTCTGTCAGTTTAAATATAGATTAAAAACCCATCTCTTTAAACTAGCATACACATAACACATGATCACATTTAGCTTGCATTCAGCTTTAGCTTGCATAAATTAGGTCAGCCGGAACCGGGAACACTTTGGATAAGACCCAATGTATTCTTATATTAGTCTCTCTGATTCATCCTTATTGGGTTACCTTATCCAGTCTGCATTCAGATCAGATGGTAGACCTGCACCTTATGACGACAGCTCACAACAGCCCTGAATGTCAGTGGAGATCATGACACCTAGACGAGCCCATAGAGACAAATCCCCTGTAAAGACCTCAATGCCACAATAGCTATCGGCACAGATCCTCAGTAAAGACCACGAGAACCTGACAAGTCATCTACACAGTCCCTGTGGCCAGCTTCGACTCCTTCACCATGTGAAGTATCCCAATATTCAAGCAGTAGGAATTTGATGAATATTCTGAATGATATCAATCCACAATCTGACTTGTGATGCAGCCTGTAATTAAACCACACCAGGTTGGTTTGCCTGGCTAGAAGAGAACTGGCCAGCCAGCTAAGCCTGAGTTTTAAAAAAAAATCGATTTCTGTTACTGATGGAGTTTGGGTTCCTTGCCACTGTTGCCTCTGGCTTGCTTAGTTGGGGACACATAACATTGAGTAATATTATTCAATCAACTGTCCAGACATTATTGGAAGAGAACTGAACTGAGATGGATGACAACATAGTTTTCTCCAGAGCTGCTTTACAGCTGAATTGAACTACTTTCATAATCTATGATTTTTACACAGTAATTGAATGGAACTGAATCACCACTGAACTGACACTATTATTTTTTCAGGGCTGCTTTACAGCAGAATTGATCTCTGAGCCATCATTTAACCATTATTTTCCTGTTTATCCCTTTAAAGCTGTATTTGTTACGTATCCGGTCCATGATCTTTGCCTGTTTTCCTGGATTTATCACTTTAGTCTTGCCCTTTTGATTCTGTTCGCCGGGCCGTCTATGAACTCTCTGCCTGTTCTGTTCCGGCTAAGGAGGCCATCTATGAATCCTCTGCTTGTCCTGTCACGGCTATGGAGGCCGTCTGTGAACTCCCGCTTGCACATGGATCTGCATGTCTCACGTCTTGTCAGCCCCGTAACAGTATTGATATTGCATATAGTGCTATTTAAATAAAGGTGACTTGACTTGAAGATTTAATTATGTTTATTTAATTTCATTTCCACAAAACAGGTCTCTATGGTCTGTTTCATATATGCGATTCATACATGAAAATATCATGTAGCTGAATGTAGCAAAAAACAGTTGACGGTAGCCATTGACTTCCATAGAATTTTTTCCCCATTCTTGGCTACCATCAACTGTTTGGTTACCCACATTCTTCAAACTATGCTAATTTGTGTTCAGCAAAGAAAGAAATTCATATAGGGTTGGAACAATATGAGGCTGACTAAATGATGGCAGAATTTTAATTTTTGTTCCAAACCTGTATGAGTTTCTTTCTTCTGTGAACACAAAATAAGACACTCCCTTTAATGCAATGACAGTTTATTTATGTTGCATTGGATCGGATTTTTTACTTCCTGCATAATTTCAGATGATCAAAATCATCTTGCCACTGGCTCCAGGGCTGTTGATGATGTCTTCATGAGCCTGGGATGCTTTATCAAGTGTATATTCAGGACCAATGACAGGTTTCAACCAGCCTGTCTCCATTCCTGCAAAAAGAGCTGCGGCACACTCGGTTGTTTCCTTCTGTGAAAGACACGGATAAAGAAAAACTGTCTGTATCTTACCATGAATCCTTTGCAAAATAAGATTTGTCATAGGTGATGATGAATAAATGCATTATATGCCAAGCATAAATTCTAGAAAGCAAGAAAATGTTAAATATGTAATGTCAGGAAGCCCACCGTACATTAGATGTATTGTATAAAGCCACACCAATGATGCTGGTCTCTTTCATCATGGTGTCTCTGGGGTAGATTTCAATAGGGCCTCTAGAGCCAACAATCTGAAAGGAAGAACAATATGATGAAAACAAAAACAAAAATGTTCAAAACACTTGCTAAACAAACACAGGGTACTTACAATAACTCTGCCACCAAAGTCAAGCAACTGAAGATCATTACTGAGGTTGACGTTGGACAACATCTCAATGATCACATTCATGCCTTGTCCACTGGTAGCATTCTAAACACAGGAGAAAAATAAAAAAATTGCACAAACACAAACTATTTGTATATAAAGTATATCCATGATAAAGTCAGACTAGACTGTGCAATGTGTGACTTAGACTACCATTCAAAAATTTCAGAAAGTTTTTCAGAAAAGGGGTCAGAAAGTTTTTTTTTTTTTAAATATACATTTTAATTAATCACATGCGATTGTCATGCACATCTCGTCAGTAAAGCCGGTTCTGTGATTAGTAATAAATCTCCATCATCTGCTTTCAGATGGAGCGGCATTTACTACACAGAGCCGTAGTTCACTGACAATTAGGCAATATCACGTTCATAATCGCAGATGAATCGCATTCGATTATGAACGCGATATTGCCTAGCTTGTCAGTGAACTACGGCTCTGTGTATTAAATGCCGCTCCATCTAAAAGCAGGTGATGGCAATTTACTACCAATCACGGAACCGGCTTTACTGACGTTATGCGCATGCGATTAATTGCACAGCCCTAATACGTTTACTCAGCAAGGATGCATTAAATAGATCAAAAGTGCAAGTAAAGACATTTATAATGTTTGACAGATTTCTATTTGAAATAAATGCTCTTTTGAACGTCCTCCTATTCATCAAAGAATCATGAAAAATGTATCACAATTTCCACAAAATTATTAAGCAACTGTTTTCAGCATTGATAATAAGAAGAAAGTTTTTTCCCCCCCATCAAATTTCTTAACGTGTAATATTTGTATGGACATAAAAAGATTCAACAACTGAGACATAAATAACAATTTTCACAGACATTTGTTTAACAGAAATGGAATGAGTCCCTGAACAGAGCAGGGGTCCATATCAAAGTATCAGTCAGTATGTAGCAGTCTGTTTGTGGTGTGTCCACCAGCTGCTTTAAGTACTAGATTGAATCTCATCTTAATGAACTAAAGCCCTATTTGGACGATAATTGTTTCTCATGGGGACGTAAGTTATTTTCACCATTTATAGGGGGTAATCAGTCATTTTATTGCCATCCGAATTTAGAATGTCAGTGTTTATCTTTCACCACCCGCGTCAATTTATTAATCAAATAATAAATAGGATTATACAGTTAGGTCCATTTATATTTGGACACAGGCACATTTGTTGTTATTTTAACTGCTGACCAAAAATATTCAAGTTACAATTATATAATGAATGTGGCCTTAAAGTGCACACTCTGAGGTTTAATTTGAGGGTATTCTCATCAAAATTGGAGGAAAGGTTAAGGAATTACAGCTCTTTAATATTTACCACACCCCTTTTTCAAGGGACCATAAGTAATTAGACAATTGACTCAAAAGCTGTTTCATGGACAGGCATGGGCTATTCTTTCGTTATTTCTACATCAATCAAGCAGGTAAAAGGTCTGGAGTTGATTCTAAGTGTGCCATTTGCATTTGGAAGCTGTTGCTGTGAACCCACATCATACGGTCAAAGGATCTCTCCATACAAGTGAAAAAGACAATTGTTAGGCTTCAAAAACAAAACAAATCCATCAGAGGGATAGCAGGAATATTACAAGTGGCCAAATCACCAGTTTAATACATTCTGAGAAAAAAGAACACACTAGTGAGCTCAGCAACATAAAAAGGCCTGGATGTCCACGTAGCACATCAGTGGTGGATGATCTGAGAATCCTCTCCATGGTAAAGAAAAACGCTTTCACAACATCCAGCCAAGTGAAGAACACTTTCCAGGAGGTAGGCGTGTCACTGTCAAAGTCTACAATCAAGAGAACACTTCACAAGAGCAAATAAAGAGGGTTCACCACAAGGTGCAATCAAGACCAGATTAGTAGAGCGCAGTCTCGGGAGTACCCCCCGGCCTGCGAGGGGCGATGGGGGTATGTGACGAGTGGGGGCGGGGCCGAAAGCCGTGGGAACGGAGCGAGGCCGGTGGAGTAATTGATAATGATCGACACCTGCACCACTCACCGGTCTCGAGTCTCACAGAGGAGCTCCGGAAGGATAAAAAGGAGGAGTGACGACAGTGTCGGATGAGAGAGGACCAGGCCTGGAGTTTATTTTGTGTTTTGGTTTTGTTTGTAAGTCGTCCGCGAGGGGCTGTCACGCTGTTTTGTGTTTGTTTATTTTATTATTAAAATCTTAAATGTTCGCAGGTTCCCGCCTCCTTCTTCCCGAACTACGAACGTTTGTTACAATGACCTTTTTGAGGGTCTCTTTTATTAATAAAAATTTTATCCTCTTATGGCTGGAATAAAATTATAAGATAGATTACTCTTTTGGAGTTACTTGTGTGTATTATTCACTCCACAATGGATGTTTTGCACTGCATTTGGACCCCATATTGTTATATTATAATCTACATTATGTGGTATGGTATGACCATACCATGACGAGTTTTTACCCTATATTTGTTTTTAATTTTTTAATTTATGTGTTTATTTTGTTGGCCCTTCTTTATCTGTTCTCTTCACATTTGATTTTAGTTTAACATATTTCACAATTATTTTTATACATTTATATATTTATTTACTGTATACACTATGTAAACATTTATATATTTATTTGTTATTATTATTATTATTTAATTGCAATAATATATATTTCATAAAACTAATTCAGCTTTAGTGACCATAAGACACTTATTTCAAAAACATAAAAAACAGTAATACTTATAGGGTTAGTTCACCCAAAAATGAAAATTCTGTCATTAATTACTCAACCTCATGTCGTTCCAAACCTGTAAGACCTTCGTTCATCATGAAGTTAAGTGGATACTCTCCAAAATAGTGGAAGACGGTAACTCGGGGTGAAGAATTGAATAAATTATGTTATTATTGTTTTCTTTGCGCACAAAACGTATTCTCGTAGCTTCGTAAAATTACAGTTGCACCACTGATGTCACATGGACTATTTTACCAATGTCCTTGTTACGTTTCTGGACCTAGGAACATTGCAGTTGCATTGCTGTCTACGGAGGATCAAAGAGCTCTCAGATTTTATCAAGAATATCTTAATTTGTGTTCCGAAGATGAACGAAGGTCTTATGGGTTTGGAACGACATGAGGGTGAGTAATTAATGACAGAATTTTCATTCTTGGGTGAACTAACCCTTTAACAATGAGATTTTTATTAACTAATGTTAACAAAGGTAATAAACACTATACAAATGATATTGAACATTGTTAGTTCATTTTAGTTAATGCATTAACCCAAAAAAAAAAAAACTTTTGACTCCAAAATCTTGAGCGATAGAGCAAAATTCTAAAAAAAAAAAAAAGTCATAAAACTTAATAAGAAAGAGTTAAACCTTAATTTTATCCAAATAGTCTTTTTCTCTGTGGTTGAATGCAAGATGAGCTCCATTGCTGAGCACCAGCTGCATACCCTCAGATGTCCCTGCTGTACCCAGAACTTTAAGGCCAAATGCTCGTGCGATCTGACATGCTGCAATGCCTACCTACAAACACAAGATTAAAATTAATTTTATCTTCAAGGAAAAAGATAAACCATGGTAACCATGTTTAAAGATAAACCATGGTAACCATCCCCGAGAGGGAACGAGACGCTGCGTCCTCTAGCGGACACTTTGGGGAATGCTGCCAGCATGAGCGGTGTCTGAAGCACGTGTGAAAAAACTCCAATTCTATTGTTCCATGTAGCCCGTGACATCATGAGCGGGCACCAGGAAGTATAAAAGGGGTCCCGCTGAAGACGTCACCAACTTAGTTGTCTGAAGGAGACATGTAACAGGCAGGCCCGAAGGCATGGCAAGGGGACGCAGCGTCTTGTTCCCTTTCGGCGAACCATGGTTACATGCGTAACCCGAGGCATTACCCTTCTAGGGAACTCATGCTGCATCCTCTAGCGCACACTTTGGGGAACAAAATGCCAACTATGCCATGCCGAGGCGCATGCCACATCCACCTGGTGAGAGACCAAGGAGGTGACATACACCTAACCTTTCCTCAGAAAGGGGCCAAGCCACTGACGCCCCAGGCCGCTCACATAACTTGGCAGAAATGGGGAGCCCAATCTCCAGATGAGGAGGGACATCCAAACCAAGTTAAGAGTATATCTATCCTCAGATAGCTATGCCATGTGAGCAATACTAGCCTGGATACACAAGACCACTGAAGAGGCTAAACTAGAAAGCCTCTAGGTAGGAGCTCAAGGAGATCACAGAGTGTGCATGGGCTATCTGCTTACTATCCTCTTTAGCCTATCCTCTTTAACCTTGCTTACACATAACACATTTCTAATATTCAAATCGGTTAAAGGATTGTTAGGCTGCATTAATTAGGTCAACCAGAACCGGGAACACTTCCCATAACACCCGATGTACTTGTTACATCGTAAGAAGAATGGCATCTACGCTAATATTAGTCGTAGATGCCAGAAATAATATATATATATATATTACATATATAGAAATAATATTATTTCTTTCTTATTCTGAGGACAGCGTAGCCACCAGATCCAGTCTGTATCCAGATCAGATGGTCACTGCAGTCCAAGGTTATTTTCGTAAACGAAAACTAAAACTAAGACTAAAACGATTGATGAAAAAACAATTTCGTAAACTGAAATAAAATAAAAAATCAGTTTTGATTGATGCACGGCTGTTCACGGAAAATTGAGCAAGACACCACAGTTACAATATCATGATTATGGTTAAATAAGAAAAAGCCACCAGATCCAGTCTGTATCCAGATCAGATGGTCACTGCAGTCACCCGGATCCAGTATGTATCCAGCCCAGATGGTGGATCAGGACCTAGAGATGACCTCTACAGCCCTGAATCTCAGCGGAGATCAGGACAACTAGATGAGCCCCAGAGACAGATCCGCAGTGAAGACCTTGTCACCTAGACGGCCATCGGGACAATGACAACCATATGAGTCCTCTGCACAATCTGACTTTGCTGCAGCATGGAACAAACTGCTGGTTCGTCTGGCCAGAGGAGAACTGGCCTCCCGACTGAGCCTGGTTTCTCCCAAGGTTTTTTTTCTCCATTTCTGTCACTGATGGAGTTTTGGTTCCTTGCCGCTGTTGCCTCTGATTTGCTTAGTTTGCACAGATACTATTTGAACTGAACTGAGCTGGATGATGACATCACTGAATTCAATGATGAACTGCCTTTAACTGAAAATTGAGTGTTTACTATTGTCCTTTTGCATTATTGACTCACTATTTTTCTATTTAATACTGTAAAGCTGCTTTGACACAATCTGTATTGTTAAAAGCGCTATACAAATAAAGGTGACTTGACTTGACTTTACTATCCTGGCAAGGCTCAAGGAGACTGCTACTTAGAAAGCCTAGGTAGGGGAGCAATCACCAGGCTAGTACATAGCTATTCTTGGATGGCTATATACCTAGGAAGGGGTTACTAGAAAAGGGGACCTACTGAAACCGCCAAGACCACCAGCAATGGGCTGTCTGCTTAAAGCCCTAAAAGGGGAGACAGCACTGTCCAGGCAAGTGCTCAAGGAGACTGCTACTTAAAACCCTAAGAAGGGGAGCAATCACCAAGTTAGCACATAGCTATCCTCAAATAGCTATGTTTCTAAGAAGGGACTCTAAAACACAGCCAACTCCAGATAGCTGTATTATAAGTAAGCTGTCCTGCCATAATCATGAATGAATGAATGATGTATTTATATAGCGCTTTATTGTGTAGAAGGGGAGAATCTCCTCAACTACCACCAGTGTGCAGCATCCACCTGGATGATGCGACGGCAGCCACAGGACAACGGCGCCAGTGCGCTCACCACACACCAGCTACAGGTGGAGAGAAGAGAAAGTCATAGAGCCAATCAAGTGGTTGGGGATTATTAGGAGGCCATGATTGACAAAGGCCAGGGGGACAATTTGGCTAGGACACCGGGGTTACACCCCTACACTTTACGAGAAGTGCCATGGAATTTTTAATGACCACAGAGAGTCAGGACCTCGGTTTAACATCTCATCCGAAGGACGGTGCTTTTTGTCAGTATAGTGTCCCCGTCACTATACTGGGGCGTTAGGACCCACGCAGACCACAGGGTGAGCACCCCCTGCTGGCCTCACTAACACCTCTTCCAACTGCAACCTAGTTTTCCCAGGAGGTCTCCCATCCAGGTACTGACCAGGCTCAACCCTGCTTAGCTTCAGTGGGCAACCAGTCTTGGGCTGCAGGGTGATATGGCTGTGAATCATGGCTGATTAATTTCTCCTATAGTAATTATTAATATTACTAATAACCATAGCTATTACTAATATTCCATCTTTATTTGACCCTCTAACTCTAGCACTCTCTATTCTAATTCTACTCTTTATAAAAAAAAAAAAACTTGCCCCTTTTAGATTTGCACTCTATTTATTTACTATCTGCTTGTTTTCTTGAAAAAAAAAAAACTAACACTTGCTTCTCTAATCTTTTTGTATTCTATCTATTTGTTTTCTTTGTATTTATTATACATTTAAAAAAAAGCAAAAAAGGCCTCTAACACTAGCTTGCTCTATTCTTTTACTATTCTATCTGTTTTCTTTTTATTTATTATATGATTTAAAAAAAAAAACTTGCTACGTGTACTGCATTAAGCTAACTGAGACTTGTTATAGCACTTGCATATCATTGCTCTTTTGTTGATTTTGATTGCTTCCATTGTCCTCATTTGTAAGTCGCTTTGGATAAAAGCGTCTGCTAAATGTCTAAATGTAAATGTTAATATACTTAGCAGTAGTCTTGTCAAAAGTACCGACCGTGATACCAGTCGGTACTGAAATTTTAAATACGCTCACACAAAAGCACATGGGAGCATTTGAAAGCCGCACTCAGCGGATCCCTAATATATCTGCACATAGACAGATCCTCTGATAGACGCGCCTTTCAAATGCTCCCGTGTGCTTCTGTGTGAGCGCTTGGTGAAGAGCGTGAAGCGATCATTGTAGCCAATCACAGTCATATCTGTTGAGTGTTTGAACACTATGGCCAATCGGTGCTGTTTAAGAATCCACTCAACAGCACTCAAATGTTAGCAGGAAATGGATGTTTTTAAAATTTCAGTACCAACTGGTATCGTGGTTGGTACTTTTGACAACACTACTAAGCAGGTCCCTAAATCAGTGTCAGTCCCATAGAGGCTAGCAAACCACCATGTTATTGACATGTAGCAAATTAGCTCAGAAGGGAAATGTATATAAATAATTACAATTAATTATAATTAATGGAAGTGGATGACTGAAACCGTTAGAGAAACCAGAGAAAGCGGTTATGGAAAATTAGTCAGTTAACCACCAGTGAAACCATCAGCGCTGTTTTATAACGGGGTCTACAGCTTATCCTAAACCTCTGTTTCGTTTAGTTAAATGTACGATACTTGCATTTCCTTGGCCTTGAACGAGCGTCTGGATGCATTCTCAGATGAAAGTCTTGATGGTTTGGAGGTTCGGTGGTGGAGGAGTCACGATCACGTTCTTCCGGGTTTGAAGTGATGAACTCCAGAAGATGTTATTCTGACTCGGTGGTGGTCGGGAGAGTTTTCTCCCAGATGAAGGTGATGAAGAGCAATGAGAGATATCAGTTGAGATCCAAGGATCGTTGGTGAATGTAAAGACAAGGCCGAAGCCTGGCGCAGACTTGAGGGTTGCAGGAGAGTTCTAGCTCACATCCTCATCTTCTCAGAAAGTAACAGAACGGCAGACTCTCTGGGCGATATGTCACGCCCGCACCGGCTCAGGCTCTCCACACGGGCAGCAATCAGAAGATTCAGCAGAAGACCGAGGGCAGAACTGTGCATGAGCCCTTTAAAGTCTGGGAAGAGTCACGCCTCTCAGGATGGGCTTGACCAATGAGAAAGGCTGAATTTCCAGGCGGGAGGTTGGAAATATTGGGGGGTTTTATGACCCTTTGTCTGAGAGCATGGTAATTTGCATATGTAATTTGACTGGTTGTTGATGCAAAAATTACTAAAGATTCGTAGAACACTAATATGTTGCCTATGTACCAACATATAATATACACTCTCGTTTAGATCATCAGAAGACGAATTCATAGATAATAAACATGGTATAGGTAAGATTACATGAACGAGTAGTTCTATCATAAGCATGCATAAAACAGTATACAATACAAAAGACAATATACAAGAACAGTAATAACATACACAATGACCTGAAGGATAAGTGTGTTCATTCAAAGAAAGGTTTTTATATTAATTAATTAGAGAAGAGTCAATTTTTATGGGCATTATATTTTTCCTATGGTTGAAAGATCCCCTTTCGAATGTTGTTGTCCGTCCAATAGACAACAGCGAGCGACTGCAAAGGTGCAGAACAATCAGACACGCACCTGCCACTCATGGCTGGGAGACAGTGGTGGCTCACGGGCTGTTGTTTGCCTCTTTGAGTGGTTGTGGTGCCATGGTGGATGCTGTCAGTTGGTGTGCTGTGGTGATGTAAGCTGTAGCAAGGTGC